AAAAAAAATAGGTTTTTTTTTATCCAGCTCTGTTGAGTTTGTTTTAATTCTGGGTTGTGCTGTCGGCTCATGCTGAAGTTCTGAACTTTGTCACTTCTTGTACTTTGTAACCATTTTTTTGTAATGTTTTCTGTTTGTGTGAACCTGGCAGAGAAGCTGTACAACATGTGGTTTATGACTCTAATAAAAGCAGTTCCGGTTGTCTTCACATCAGCTGCGTGTTGTCCCACATTAATGTGAGTCATGAGGAGGCAGAGCCTCCAGAACGTGTGTCTGTAGCTTTAAGACAAACAGGCAGGCACAAAAGGAGGAAGTGAAGACACCAAACTTTCGTTTCCCTCGTGAAACTTGTATTTATACCTGCAGCTCGTGCCTCTGAAAGAGGAACCAACAAGAAGAAGTGACCCGGAGGGGGAGGAGGTGTCTGTCCTCCAGGTGGGGAGGGAGGGGGGCACAGTTTTTATKCTGAACCAGTCAGGAAGAAGCAGCAGCAACATGGTGAGTTCTGCTTAAAACGGCATTAAAAGTCACATTCTGGGGTTTAAAGTTGTATTTGTTCAGTGCTGCGTTCAAATACAATCAGACAAATTAAATAAGGACTTGAATCAGTACAAAACTGACCTGTAAGGTTCTGTTTGATTATTTGTGTTCTTACAGAAAGTTAAATGATARAAACATGATCATAAAGCTCATTCATGTCTAAAATGTGACTTTTAATCCTCTAAAGCAGTCATTACTTCGTTATTATTTAGAACCTCCAAACATTTTTAAGAAGTTGTTGAGTTTCTTTTTTCTGTACTGATCTTTGCTCTGAAACTAAAAAAAGCATTCATTTTAATAAACAAGCCTACTCTGTGTGAGGATTGCACAAATTAAATTTATGTTCAACTAATACCGACTGAAGAATACTTAACATGATGATTGTACAGCACCTTGTGAATATATTTCTGTGAAAGGTGCTACATAAATAAAACTTTACTTACTAACATGTTTAGATGCAAAGAAACTAGTAGGAGCTGTGTTTTTGCATTTTACTGCAGCTTTTGATGTAATCGACCACATGCCAAACTTAAAGCATATGGTAGGAGTAGGACATAGCCTTTTTCAATGGCAGTCTTTCTAACAGTATAACATCATGTGGTGTACCACAAGGAAGCTGTTTGGGTCCACTTTTATTTTCAATATTTATAAAGGATTTTCCATATGTTGTTGAAAAGGATAGTGTTGTAAGGAATGCTGTTTTCTCGTTCTCTTAACTTTTGYTCAAAATTAAAGTTGAACTCAAGAAGAAACTATCAGGTGTGTGTTTGTACACTGCAGCAACAGCAATGCCAGAACTGTGAGTCTACAGCAACAGTTAAACACAATAGTGGACTGGGTGAAAAAGAATAAACTGATATTAAATATTTCCAGTTGCAGTGTAYGTTGCAAAATTTGACCTCACTTAATCTTAATATTGAGAATACCAAGGTAGAGCAGGTCACCAAATTCAAACAGCTGGGTATCAAATTAGACAGCTTATAGTCCTGGTCAGATCAGATTGACCATGTGGTTGGTATGATGGCCAGGGGAGTTATGTCAAGAAAATGTTCTGCTTATTGTCCAACTGCTGTAATGGAAAATGTTGTTCAAAGTTTTGTTTTAACTCATTTACAGTATTGTCCTGTAGTTTGGTCCAATGCAGCCCAGAAAACTTCAAATAGCTCAGAATAGAGCAGCCAGAGTAGTTTTGAACAGTCCTTTATGCACCAATATGCATGAGATGCATCTAACTGTCTTAGTTAACTGTGGAGGCAAAAACAAAATACAGTCTTCCACTGTTTACGCTTATGGTAATGATTAATAATACACATTGTTTTAGAGAAAGAATATTATTCAGTGGACATTGTCATGAGCATGTAACACGTTCCAAGCCCTAGAAGTAATTTTATGAGGAAAACAATTCTGTATAGAGGGGCGTCTGAGTGGAATTTACTCTCAGTGTTAGGGAAATCCAAAATCCAAATATTTTTAAGAAAACCATAAAACAGAAATTATTGCATTAAAAGTATTGCATATTTATGTTTTATTATTGTAATTGTTTGAGTGATGAGGTGTTTTGCAGACTGCATTTGCCTGCTTGGGTGGATTAAGTGGCCGCTGTGAGGCCTTAATAGTTTTTAAAACTCTGTGGAAAAAGAGTATGTAGATTTTAATCACATGTACTGTTAATTGTATTTTTGTATTTTTGATTTTTATGGATCCCAGGAAGACTAGCAACCACTGCTGTGGAAGCTAATGTGGATCCAAATAAAACAATAAATGTTCTAATCCTGTAATTCCAGGTGAATAAACAGATTTATTTAGCTTCAGATTCACCTCATTCCTTTAATAAACAGATTATTGAGTGAGTTTGTTCCAGTCTGACACGAATCAGTGACGCTGGAAGCTGCTGATGCTGTCCACAGATGGAGGTCACGGAGGCTGAGCAGCTCGTGGAGGATGCCGATCAGATCGGGAGGCCCCTCAACAGCGCCGCGAACGAACTGCTGAACGTGGACCAGGAGGACAACATGCAGGGCCAGGTGGGCTCAAGTCGGCGTCCCRGTCAGAGACCCTTGGAGGGAGACGTTCCTGACACTTTGTTTCTCGCCTCAGATGGAGGAGTTTCTGGGCCCGCAGGCGCAGTACAACGAGGAGGAGGAGGAGAGGAAATACTACAGGAGGAAGAGGCTGGGAGTCATAAAGAACGTTGTTGCAGGAAGTTTTGGAGCCATGATGGTTTACAGCATTTACATGGGTGTGTTTAAGTCTGAGCAGAGACAGAACGGCTGAGGAGCCTTCCTGTTTACACTGTGATGTTGTTGGTTCAGGTCTGCTGCAGATGCAGCTGACCCTCCACTACGACATGACCTACAGGGAGGTCAAGTACAGCAACCTGGGCCTGGAAGACATCGACCGGAAGATGCTGATGGGCATCAACGTCACACCCATCATCGGCCTGCTCTACACACCTGTTCTCATCAGGTAGAGTCACACCCAACAGGAAACCAGAGATTAACGCTTTCATCCAAACAAACCCAATGACCTCCTGCAGATTGGTGCGAATGCTGAGTCAGCATTAAACTTCTTTTAGTTTTTAGGTTGTGTYCTGATTTTCAGAGTCATTWATTGTCATTCACACATAACATCAAGATGCAATGCAGAACGAAATTGTTGAGGTGGTGTTCTGCTTCTTTTAGCTTTTAGCTGCGGTCTTGCTCCTTTTAGCTCATATTCTGCTACTTTCACYTCAGGTACAGCTCATTTTTAGCTCKTGCTTCACTYTTAATAGCTCATGTTCTGCTTCTTTTTGCTTTTAGCTGCGGTYTTGCTCCTTTTAGTTCAYGTTCGGCTACTTATAGTTTGAGTTTTGCTCCTTTGAGGTCATTTTCTGCTTCTTTTAACTCTTAAGTCATGATCTGCTCCATTTGGCTCAGTTTTCTCTTTTTATTAGCTCATGTTTTGCCACTTTCATCTCAAGTTATGCTCCTTTTTAGCTCGTGCGCCACCTGATATCTCATTCTGCTTCTTTTAGCTCATGTTCCGCACATTTCAGCTCATGTTCAGCTCATGTTTGCTTGAGTTCAGTTCTTTTTAGCCCATCATTCCCCTTTTAGCTAGTGTTCTGCTCCTTATAGCTCATGTTCTGCATATTTTAGCTCATGTTTTGCTCCTTTCAGCTCATGTTTGCTTGAGTTCAGTTTCTTCTAGTCCACCATTCCCTTTTAGCTAGTGGTCTGCTCTTTATAGCTCATGATCTGCCCCATTTGGCTCAGTTTTCTCCTTTTAGCTCATGTTTTTCCTTTTCCAGCTCAAGTTCTGCTCCTTTTTTAGCTCGTGCTCCACTTCTTATAGCTCATGTTCTGCTCTTGTTTGTTTTTGTTTATCCCATCATTCTCCTTTTAGCYAGTGTTCTGCTCCACTCAGCTTTAACAATCCAGTTTCAGCTTCTTCAGAAAACCTTATAAAAAGTCATTGTTCAGCTCTCACAGTTTTGTTCTGGACGTCAGGTTTCTTGGTACAAAGTGGATGATGTTCCTGGCTTCGGGGATCTACGCTCTGTTCGTCTCAACAAACTACTGGGAGCGATACTACACTCTGGTTCCTTCGGCTGTCGCCATCGGGGTGGCCATTGTGCCGCTGTGGGCCTCTTTGGGAAATTATATCACRAGGTGAGAAACAGGAAAACGTACAGATGGACTGAGTTTCTGTCCTGTTTGGTTCCTCTGAACCCAAACGTGATGAACCAGGACTTGCCCAGTTAAATAAAGGTTAAATAAAAGATTAAATAAAGGTTAAATGAAATGTTAAATAAAAGGTTAAATAAAAGTTAAATAAAGTTGAGATTAAGTTTAGATAAAAGTTAAATAAAAGGTTAAATAAATGTTAAATAACAGAAATAAATCAAAGCTGCAGGTCTTTTAAAGTGAGCTTCTTGCTCTCGCTGCATGCAGGATGGCGCAGCAGTATTAYGAGTACGTCAACTACAGGGAGGAACATGTTCAGGAGCAGAAGAAGCCTCCAAAGGGAGCGTGCCATGGCTACATCATCATCTTCCAGTCGCTGTTCTTCGTCATCTTCAACGTGAGTCTCCGTTTGTTTTAACKAACTCGTTTTCTGCAGAACTTTGGTGCAAACTTTTGCTAAAAATTAAAGTCGAACTCAAGAAGAAACTATCAGGTGTGCGTGACTTTTTTTTATTTGTCCCATATCAGCTGAGTTTCGTCCTCGCCGAGCTCCCGATGCGCCTCGTCCTCCACGACCACCTGCACGAGAACAAACACATCCTCGCCAACGTGAAAATCTGTGGTAAAGAATGAAAAATATCYCAATAAGTTGTTTTATTTACTGTTCTGTGCTGAAAACCTTATTCTTGTTCATTTTTA